CCCCCCCACTTAGCACCTAAATTAGTTGCAGGCTTTTCTTATGGTTTCTGTGTGTTATTAATTTTTGCTTCTGCGAGTATAGCCTTATGTCGCTGCGATTGAGACTTGCTTCTATATGCTTGGATGATTAAGCGATTTGAGCGATCTACTGCTTCAGACAGTTGACTGTGCCAAGTGAGCCAGGTATAATGGACGCAGAAGACAATATAGGAGATTCTGTCGAAAAGTTGGTTTTCTGCATTGATTGGCTCTCTAGTTGCCAGGCTTTCTAACAAGTTTCGTATACTTTGCCCATTCTAGCGCGAATCCATTATCAAACGTACCTACGCCGATTGATGAGGAAATTGATGAAAGCGACGAAGAAGAAAAGCGTGTTTCGTTCGTGGCCCAGTTTTACAATTTTCTGGAATTGCGAGGTATTCAATTATGTGTGGCAAAAGTGGATCTTTCGGTTTACCTATTGAATTCTCCTCTATTGGGCTTTTCACAGTATGGCGTTGGGCGCGTGAAGGCTGCGTGAACGTCCGCGCCGCCGCCTTTTCGGTTTGAGTGAAAAGTTCCTCAAGCAAAGTTGCGCACTTTTGTTCCCTAGTGTTATATGTATTTTTGTCACATTAAACTGTACTAGTAAAGGAAGAAGTTTAAAAGTTTGTTCACGACAAAAAAAAAGTGAATAACAAACGATAGAAGCCCGATCAATAGTGTGCCGCCCGTTCATTGCGGTATCGATCGAAGACCGGCGTTGTCAGTAGAGTGCTCTTTCACAACGCTCAACGCTCTACTGTGAAAGGTGTTATTCATAAGTTTTATTCATTTATTTAAGGTAGTCCCATAGAGGATGCGCCGTTGATGGGTGGGAGAGAAATCGATCTCTATGATTTGTATAACGCGGTTCAAGAACTGGGTGGTTTTAACAGGGTTACGAAGTTGCAGCTTTGGAATGAGGTAAGCATAATCAACATTGAACATTGATTTATGTTTTGTCGGTTTCGAGCAAAACTATCTATGTTCAAGGTACTGATCAAACTCAATTTGCAAGGTAATCCAGAAGCGACACCGGATACCATTAAGGAAGCATACGTTAGGTAATCTTGATCTTTATTCAGTATGTCTCTAACACTTGGTTTCTTTGCCATTTATACTAGAATGGGCCTACGCGATTTAATGTTTTGGTTGTAATCAGTCAACATGAGTTTTCCTTGTTTTCTTTTATCCGCTACGGTATTGCAACAGTAACTCTGATGTCAGCTGTCGCGCGTCTCTTATGGGAAGTCAGGTTCAAGACAGCCAGCTCCAGCTTTTCTTCCGTTTCCTCTTTTCTCTCACTTGCTTCTCAAAAAGTTGATCTGCTTTTCTGTGAGGTTTCCCTTTGAACCCTCGCATTCGAACTCGGCGGGTTTCCGCGCGTTTGTTGAAACTACGTCACGCCGCAGTTGTCGCAAGCGGTGCATCAGTCGCGATTCTTGACATGACATCGCAGTTTTCAGGAGGACATGCGAGAATAGTTCATTCAGCCTAAAGAGAAGATATCAGGGACTAGTGCAAATGGTTCGCTCCACTGGCACCCAGTGGTACTCTAATGTCGTGTTGGCAGTGGTTTCTTTTATAGTCCGCCGGCCGGTTCGCGAGCGAGGGAGCGCGCGCGTCGGCCAGAGACGGCGCTATCCACTTGAATTCAGTTTGTAAACAAGTGGATAGCGCCATCTGCGGCCAGCGGACTATAAAAGGAACCAGTGGGCTGTGCCGCACGCGGAGTGGGCGAAGTGACATAGTTTTGGCGCACGCGTGGAACGGACGTTCCCTGAATTTGGCAGACCTTTTAAATAAGTCGACAGAAGCGCAATGGAGCCGTGTTAAATGAGTTCTGCTTGAGGTTCCATCTTGACAAGAGCGTAGATTCTCACAGTATCCCCGCTGCTTGTTCAAAACTTGCAACTTTATTTTTGATTCGATCTTTTGTTCACGGCTGTTATATCGCCGAAGCACGCGATCCGAAACTTTCACAAGGTTGGCGATTTATGGGCAGGGCGAGGGTAAGCGGGGCCTCAGTATTGTAAGGAATAAAGAGCACTGTGTCAGGGAAGATCAAGTAAGGGTTCGAGTTCTATTCACGACCGAAGTTTTGCCCAACGACCTTGTGAGACTTGCGATTCTCGTTTTTTTTAGGCACTTATCCGACTTTCACGCGTTCTCCAGAAGTCTTCGCTTGTCGTTAGGTGATGTTTCAGCAGTGTCCTCTTGGCGTAGTCCACGTGAACGTCGCCCTACAGAATTATTCAGTCAACCGGTCGGTTTTAAAGACTACGTCCACAGCCACCATTTATTCCTTTCTCTTCTCACTAGATTTTGCCATTGTAAAATTTTTTCGTTTTGTAGGTTAACACTTAACAGTGTCCACTCTTCACAAATTTTAAACTTGTAGATATTTTCCCGTATAATTCAATTTTCAGCCAATTAAAAAAAGAAGATATTCCACACCCCAACAGGTCACATTCGTCAAGGAAAAAAACGTGTCTTATGGAATAAACGAAGCGTCAATGGATTCTGAACTCCAAACCAATAAGGAGATGTCAGTGTAAGGATTTATTGATTACGGTAGACTATGGCGCAGAAGGTGTCATTGCGTACAAAATTGCCACATCATCGCTCTGAGTGTATAAACCCTGTCGATACTCAGTGGGCGCGTCGCACCCATACTCTAGTCCTGCGTGCGTCGACCGTAATGTCGCATCCTGGCCGGTGTTCTTCGATAAAGCAATACTTTCTTTGCTGGGCTTTCAGGGCTTCTACCTGTCCGTGTGTACAGAAAACCTCAACAGTGACGGCCAAGAAAGGGAAAGGTTAGTTGTTTACCGGAATTTTTTGTCTTAATTATTATAATTAGTAGATGCAGTTTTTGTATTTGCAATTTCACTATGTGTGATACAGGGAGGGTGATAAAAAGGAAGAACAGAGAAAATGACGTTGGTAACCACTAGTTGCTAGGTTTAGACTTGCGGTGACTTGAATGAGCAAGTTAGTGCTTGTAAGGGGACGGAATGTTGGTGCGTCCGAAGGTGCACGCGGCATATTGCGCGGCGGAATTCGTGGCGATTCGAACAACTCTGGCGCCTATTATTGGGGCGTAAACTTGAACTAGAGTAGATTAGTATGATCAGCTGGTCCTACTAATAAACGCTACTTCGAATTTGGGCCTCAATAATAGGCGCTAAAGTCGCCAAAATCGCTGTGAATTTCGCCGCGCGAATACCTCGATCCGCACGAATATTCCGTCCCACATGGGTGAGCAACCTCTGTCAAGGGAGCTAGTTGAAATTTGCGTTGAATGGAATCAAAACCAGGGATAGGATGTGTCAAGCGATGCACTGACGGAGCAGACGCGAAACAATATAGTGTCTACATAGCAGTAGACTCCGCAATAGGTAAGCAACAATATATGGTGCATTAGAAGGTCACGAGTGGGCTTGAACATGGCAAGACAAGGTCTGAAGGAGTCAGGAGCTTCAAGAATATCGAGATTTCGCCATGGGCTAACGTCTACCACGGATCCTAGCTGCATGATGCATGAACAGAGTAGGAAGTTCAGTCATGGCGCACATACCGATTACGTACTCTCGGTACATCGATGATTGCTGCGTAATTACATCTACGCAACTCGAAATGGATAAATCCCATATTCTCCATCGGAAGTCACTGCGTATCAAGTTCACGAGCGAAGTTCCGCAAGATGTGTAACTACCTCAACTCAATATAGATAAAGATCTCTTATGGATGGTACAGGGTGAAGTAGTTCGGAAAAACAGAATGTTACACTCCAGTCTGTCACGCTGGAGCTGTGGGATGTCTTGTCTTGCCTTCTCTAGATTCAGCTCATGTCTAGCAGAACGCTTCCTTTGCACGCTTTGAAATCACACAAGTGTTCTAGCTTCCAGCCTCTGGCTTGTTTTAACCTTGGCGTTATTGTTTGCGTCGTTCAAATTCATCTGTCGTTAGCTTATTAGGTGTAACTCTTTATCAAATCAACGGCCTAACACGCAATCGTCGTCTTCGAAGCAACTGAAGATGGTTTACAATATACAACCTCTAATCCCTCCAGCAAAAAGACGACTGTCTGAATTTCAATGAGGAACCACCCAGTTTATGAAACACCAGAGCCTTCAGGCGGATAGAATGCGGTGTCGCCACAGACGCATTCGTATTGCAAGCACTGCAAGAAGTGTCACTCGCTACTGACAGTCGCCTGTGGCGACAGCGGATTCTAACCGATTGAACGAAACAGCGCGAGTGAGTATTTCATAAAGTGGGCAGTTCTACAATGAAATTCAGACATGTTGTTGGACGGAACTGAAAGCTTGTTGGATATTTTGAATGATCTCGAGTTGCGTTTAGATTTCTGAAGACAACGATTCCCGCGAAACATTGAGCAGTTGATTCGTTGAAGATCTCCACGTGAAAGCCTCGAACGGCAGAAGAACTTAAACCATGCAAGCATAATGCCAAGGATGAAATAAGCCGGAAGCTGGAAGCCAGAAAACTAGGAGTTATTCCAAACGTTCGCAGAAAGCGTTCTGTTAGGCGCGAGCTGAATCTAGAGGAGGCAAGACAAGACATTTCGCAGCTGCGGGTGAGCAGACTTTTGTGTGAAGCATAATATTCTTAGAGCTGTTTTCCGAAACGACTTCACCCTGTACCATCCACTGGAGGTTTTTATCTACGTATTAAAATGAGGTACTTATTCATCTTGCGGAACTTTTCTCGTGAATTTGATACGTCGCTGTGACTTTCGATGGAGAATATCCATTTCGAGTTGTGTAGATGTAATTACGCAGCAGTCATCGATGTACCGACAGTGCGCAATCGGAATGTGCGCCATGACTGATCTTTCTACCCTAAAATTCCATAGATAAGAGCGGTTTAAATTACCGGTGAAAAATGAATTGGAATGAAGTTGAAATTGAATGAAGTCACNTAAACCCCGCCCACTTAATAAACAATTCATATAGAAAAATGGCGATCCATTAAAATCGCTATTTTTCTATATGAATTGTTCATTAAGTGGGCGGGTTTGAAATTGAGGGGCGTCTTCTAAACTTCTTCTCCGATTTTTATTTATCCATCCATCAAGTTAGAGGGTGACTGCATTTAATTTCAATTTCATTCCAATTCATTTTTCACCGGTAATTAAACCGCTCTTATCTATGGAATTTTAGGGTACTTTGGTCATGCATTATAATATGCAGCTGATACCCGTGCTAGATGCTAGCCCATGGCGAGCCCTCCATATTCTTGATTGAAGCCGCTGACTTCTTTAGTCCTTGTCTTGTCGGGTTCACGTCCAGTTGTGGTCTTCTAGTGCACCATATACTGTTGCTTATCTCTGCAGTCCCTTTCTTGACCGCCGTACAGGACATATACGGTACCAACGTCAGGCCTAGGTTGACAGGCCGGCTAATGGAGAAACCGAGTCACAAAAACCATGCAAAAGTCTCAAAAGAAACCAGTGATAAGGGCGCACAGGACTCCCGCCCGAGTCCTCTGGACCGTGGGCGAGGGTTACCGAGGGAGGACCTCGGTCAAAGAAGTAAGTTCGAACTGGGACTCTAAACGTGGGTTCACCTAGTGGGAAGTCCCGAGGCGCCGCTGATCTACTATAGCGCAAGAACATCCAGATCCTCTGCCTTTAGAAGACCCGCTAGAGTGGAGCGAAGGCTACAGAAATCAGAGAGGGTGTCAAGCTCTGCTACAACGGGGACGACACCAAACACAATGTGGTCATAGCCGTGGCGGAGTCCCAAAAATCTGTCTTCGTCGTAAACAGGATCAGCAGTCGAATCATAGCTATGAGGATAGACACGAAAGGGGGTATTGGACAATAATATCCGTGTACGCAAAAGAAGCCGGCTGCCCCGAGTGTGGAAAAGATGAGTTCTTCCTGAGGCTGGACGACACCATCACGATCCCGGAAGGGGATTATGTCACCAGAGGAGGCAATCTGAATGGTCACGTCGGCAGTGAAAGGAGAGGATTAGAAAAGGTACATAGAGGTAAGGGAATAGGTGTTAGAAACGAAGAATGGGATAGGGTCCTCA